TATTTGCATACAGATCCATGTCCGGTGGACCTCCATAAAGCAGCCAGGTGTGTTTACAAGGAAGTTTGTGACACACCTGCAAAGCCTCAGTGCCTCCTTCAAGTCCGTTCATTTAATCCTCATCACTGTTTCCAGAGATTTTTTCTGCTGTGATCATAAAGCGTCTCGCCTGTGGCTACAGACTGCATCTATTCTCCGGCCAAACCATTTGAACACGTGACCAAACCTGCAAACATGTAACAGGCTGGTAGGAGTGTTAGTTACATCATACAGAACACAGATTTGTGCAGCTTTAGGGCACAACTTTGTTCCGTAACTTCAAACAGTGACCTCTGACCCCTGACCTTTGGTCTTGGGTATATTTTGAACCAGACATGATCATATGCTGTTGTAGCTACTAAGTACATTTTATTTTTATAGCGCTTTCAAGCAGTCACAAAGCAATGCTGTAGTATCTTCTTAAAAATATATAAAATATCATCTCAAGCTATATCGTTGAAAATTGTGAGAAAATAAGAAACAAATGTGGAATTCTACAGAATACACTATATTTAGATTTCACAAATGTAAACTGTACTTTTGTTCAAAATGTGTGAACTGGGCAAAGACACAATTTGGCCCGTCAATGGAAAAATGCCACTGAGTAAGAATAGAACAGTTGCACAACGATGAGTGGACAACGAACATTTTCTGAACAGTATTCAAACATAATAGGCATGTTCTCCTCAGATGAGTATAAAATGACCCATCCTTTTGTTTTCACATTCCTGATTATTTCCACATTCTCTGATATGACCCCCAGCCTGTTTAAGTGACCAGTTTATTTCTCCCAGTGGAGTGACTGCTGCTGGATGAGAGACTGGCAAACCTCCCCTACACAGACCCACAGACACACTTCACCCACTAGAACCTCCCCTTTCCTGTTCTTTTCCCTTTTACTCTACTATAAAAGCAGGCTATTGTAAAGCACAGACTGCATTTAATGAGCCTATACTGTGTTTTCATTACAAGCATTCAGTAACTCTGACTGGTTGCCATGGAAGTGGAATAATTACCCACTAGTAAACCGACTTCACCCACACTTTTAGCTTGACATACTGTAAGTATTTGCCCCGTGAGCAGCATCCCAAGGATGATGATACCAATTGCTGGTTGGTTTGACCATCCAACATCTGTCAGTTGCTGCAGCTTGGTCAGTGGCCCTATGCTGCAAAGTGGGACAGGAACTCCGGTAGTGTCATTTGCAGACGTGTCTGTCTGATGTAATGTTCTAATGTGTCGTAGAAGTCAGGCGATGTAGTATAAAGAGTGAGAAAGTCCATATGGCGGTTGGGGGCTTTTACCCAGGAGACCTCTGTTAATGTTCCTAACTTCTTTTTAATTACGTTACGTTGCGTTGTGGTGCGTTACATATCGTTATGTTATGTTACTTTGACTGAACACAACCAAGTAGTTTTTGTGCCTAAACGTAGCCAAAGTACGACCGTTTCAACTCATAAAATGTTGCTCAGCAGACTTTATTTTGAAAGTCTAACGTTGTATATTAATTGTTGATAACTTGACACACTATGTATTGTGGGATAGGGGGTGGCCATGGCTAAAATCTTACATCTATCACAGTATATAATGTGAATAAATATATGTGATATAGTAACGTTTTAGGAAATTCAACTACAGCTCTTTTGCATGCACAGACACTGAAACATAACACATTAATGGACAAACAAAGAGTGTTGTGCTGGTGCTGTTTTCAATTCTATCGGTTGGCACACTGAAAAAGATAACCCTGTCTACAGCTGCATTTCATTTCACATTTTTTCCCTCTTTCTATTATCTTTATTATTCATCCCATCTACATTTTTTTTAACCATCTTGTTGGCAGGGTTTCCAGTTCCCCTCCCTGCTTCTACATTTTTGCATTCCAACTAAATGGTGAGCCTCCCTCCCTCCTTCCCTCGCTTTCATAACTCCAAAAAAAAAAAAAAAAGATTCCCTCATGTGTGAGGAGTGATCCATGCCTGCTCTACAGAAAACAATGCCAGCCTTTCTGCCCTGGCATGAGAGGGAGAGAGGGAGGGACAGAAAAAAAGAAATAGAGAGATTGAGAGTTCTTTGTGTGTCCAGTGAGAGTTTCTGAATCTGAAGAAAGAAAAGCTGCTGATGTCCTCCCCCCAGTCTGAGGGAAATGGGCTTTGATGTGGTGGGAACAAACACACACTAGTTCTAAGCCTGATTTACACCTCGAAGGATGTTTTTAATATCAATCCCCATCTATCCATCCACGTTTTATACCAGCTTATACACTTATAACGATGAGTAAGGTAGCAAGTGATTATACATGCTACCTACTGTAGCGTCCACCAGTCTTAGCGGACTTTGATGTGTGGCTGCTGGTAGTTCAGCTTCTTCCAGCACCAGCGCTGTAGTTGGTGTGAAGGTGGAACTACAGGCCGTTTCTCCTCGGAGCTGGAAGGTAACGATACAGCTACGTGTAAAAACGAAATGGTCAAACTGCAGGGATTCATTTTCTTGGCAACGCTGCATAACTTTGATTTGCACCCAACTGCTAGCTTAGCTTGCTCAGTAGGCACCGGTGTTAGAGGCTCGCATGCAATGCATCCTGGTACATGTAGGCACTGCAGGTGAACTCAGCTCTCTTGGTAAATATAGCACCATTGTGAAATGTAGTACTTCAATTGGCTACATCAACACTGATTGGACATCCATATAAACATTTAAAATTACTCAAAAATATGTATCTAACATTTAAATGTTTAATGATTCCCTCCAGACATGTATTAAGACATATATACAATAGTGTGCTTGGAACAATAATGTGTGTCTGATATGTTTTTTATATGATATGCAAAAAAAAAAGGATTATCTCCACATTAAAAACCTTTAAAAGTCATCTGTTCCTTATGCCTCATATATAAAAATCCCACAATCTCTGAATATGCAAATGTTGTTCATATCTAAAGTTTTGCTGCTGGACACAAGATGTCTCCTCCTTCACTGTAAAGTCCATTCTCAGTGGATGTGCACTGGTGGCTTCAGGTTTCTACATCACACTGTACAAGTTGCATACTGGACCAGGACTGACTCCCTAACTATTTGTGATGTCACAAATCCTGCTGGTAGGCCCCGCCCCTTACAATCAGATTTTATAATTAGCACAGAGAAACTTTCCACTTTCAGCAGATGAATGTGAAAACATCCTTCTAGTGTCAAACTCTGTACAGACAGCATTCAAACAGCTCACTGTAGGATTGAGAAGAAACACTGATTATTGACTGGAGGGGGGCTTTAAACTGAAGTATATGCGTATGATGCAGTTTTCCTGTTCAGATCTGACCCCTGGATATCAACATAATACATTGTATTATATATAAAACATGATTGAAGATTTTAATCTTTTCATATTCATGTCTTTCAACTGGAAATAAACAAATCAACAAGGAAGACATGGTTGCTCCTCCTTCAGCATGTTCACCTCTTTATGTCTGATCTTTATTTGTATCAACTCACTTCAGTCATCACTCTTCCTCCGTTCCTCTTTTCTTCTCCTTCTCTCTTTTGATCACTGCTTACACATGCGCGCACTAACACTCACACACACACGCGCACACACATCTCTCTGTTATCTGGGACTTTGGTGCTGCCAGTCAGGAATGTAGGTCTTAGTTTAGTGGAGCAAGCAGCAACAGGTCCACCTCCTGAATGGGAGTTTGTGGAGGATACAGCAGCAGTAGCTTTAGACAAAGGACCCAGATCAAGACAAAGAGACAATCTGTGTTTAATGGAAAGAAGCGTTGTTGAAGAAATTGAATTCACTCTGCAGTCTTAGCGGGTGTCCTTCTCAATCAAGTTCACACTGATAGGATTGAGTCAGTTAGCCAGGAGCAGCTCTTTGCTATGGAGGCTATGCATTTGCTGGACAACTGGAGGAAGGTAATTATGATATGAAGAGACAACAGAGGACACTTTAAGGCTAAGAAGTTGGTAAAGAGAAACATTGCAGGGGGAAATGTTTGTAGTTGGGTGAATTCTTGCTTCTTCTGGCTCAGAAAAGAAGAGTTTCTTATTGCACTGAAGCATTTTCAGACAGAATTTTCTCAACATTTATTTTTATTTTCTGGCTGTTTTGTGATTTCCTTCCCTGCAGCTGACTCCACTGCCGAATATCATTTCACGGGTCTGTCAGAAGAGCAAATATGAGGATATTGCAGCAGTGTTTTGTTATCCTGAAGGCAGGGAGCATCAGAACCATATTTTCCATCCCTGCTGCAAAACATTTTAGGCATGCAAATGACCCCGGGTAGTCTCTGGTTCTCTGTGATTGCCATAACAGTTTGTTTTCTACCCTTTCTGGATGGTTTTGCTCACAGCCACAAGCTTCACACATCTCATAGAATGACTGCAAAAGTGATTGCATGATATTCACCCTTGTATAGAATCTGGACACAGATGCACCAATATAGACATGGAATATATTTATAGCCGTTCATTCAGTGCTGACTTGCTGGAAATACCCAAAAATGAGTGCGTAATATGGGAGGAATTTGTGAACACTGTGTGTGTGTGCTTTCATAGAACTGAGAGACGCGAGAGCAACCAAGGGTGGCTGACTTCCAGTGGATGTGTCAACTACCAAGAGACTTAAATGCGTGTGTGTGTGTGTGTGTGTTACTTCCTCAGAGTGTGTTGCTAAACGCTGTCGACCATCTGTTGTGTGTGTTTGTGCTGACAGCATGAATCACACCTTGACACATTAGTGTGTAGTGGGGAGGGGGAATCCCGCTAAATATGGCTCAGTTGTCTTAAATAGTTGTGAAAAAAGTGAGTTTAATAGACTTTTTAAAACACTTTGTTCTCACGTATCCACATCTGACACGTAAGATTTTGATACTGTGGCTAGCCGTTAGAGATGAAGTCACCCCATGACGGCATCCGTTACATCATTTTGTGGCTAATATCAACGTCCTCATTTCCTCCCTCAGGATCTTCATGTGTCGCAGGGAGCTGTGGACAGCTCAGTGGACATGGACCGCCTGAACAGGAACATGCCGGAGTTTGGACGGCAAACCCACCAGGTGTTACAGGTGAGTGTGTGTGCTTTGGGAGAGGAGAGATGTAGAGGGGGAAAATGGAGTGAGTCAGAAAGAGAGAGCCTTATTGTTCTTAACTTGGCAGCCATCACAGAAAAACGCAGTCATATGTTATCAATGTGTCAGCTTTGTTGCATGTTTCCAGTGTGCGGACCCTTTCACACACTCACACACACACACACACACACACACACACACACACACACACACACACACACACACACACACACACACACACACAGTGCAAGCTCTCATCTTCTGATAACTGTATCCATTGATGTTAAATGTCACCACGTTGGCTGCTCTGGCAGATTTCTGGCGCTAAAACTCTCCATGGATGATAAATACAGGGTTGAAGGCCCAGCTGAGTGAAGAGGCAGCAGGTCGGGTCAGGCCGTGCAGCTGGGACGCGTCCTGACAGCATATGTCAGTGTGTTGTAAAGCAGGAATCTACAGCCAGAGTCAGTAATTAGACAGACCCGGAGATTGGATCTCTGCGTTTCCCACCTGCTGGGTCTGACAATCCTATCAGGCATTAAGAGGAGGGCTTTGTGTGTGTGTGTGTGTGGGCATGTTTTACCCTATTTGTGGGGTCCAAAAGCCAGGAGACCATTACACCGCTGTGGTCTGACAGCTTTGTGGGGACCAAAATGCTGGCCTGTTTGAGGGTTAGGACTTGCTTTTAGGGTTAGGGTTAGGCACTAACACAATTGTGATTGTTAAGGTTGGGGTAAGGGGCTAGGGAATGCATTATAGCAATGACAGGTCCCCAAACATGTAGTAAGCGTGTGTGTGTGTGGGTGTGTGTGTGTCTGTGTCTGTGTCTGTGTCTCTGTGTGTATGTGTGTGTGTGTGTGTGTGTGTGTGTGTGTGTGTGTGTGTGTGTGTGTGTGTGTGTGTGTGTGTGTGTGTGTGTGTGTCTGTTGTTGCGTGTATGGGAGTTAGACGGAGTGAGAAATGGGAGATGAAACACAATGAGATTAAACTTTAATGACTCCTGTAAGGAAACTGGGACGATGCTGCAGATACTGCACGGAAAAACATCAGAATATAGCAAACTGCAGGTATTTAGGTGAAATATTTGACCAAATTTTCAACAGAAGAGTAGAAGTGTATGATTGAAAAGTAAACAAAAACAAACTGTTAACAGTTCTTATCTAAAGACACATGTCTCAGTAAAACCCTAAGATATTTATTTTACTTTCAAACACCCACTGGTTTTGTATTTGATTTTCAAGTATGTGTATTAATTTTGTAACATCTTATGTGGAGCTCCTGCTGCAATACATCCACAGGTGTGTGTCTCTAATTAACTCAAATGTTGTCATTGTTGAAGCTTCCAAAGACATGACATCATCATCTGGGCTTTCCCAAATTGTTTAAAGGCATAATAATCTTAGTGTATGTAAACTTCTGACTTTGAAGAAAGTAATAAAAAAATCGTTCTCTCATTATTCTGGCATTTAGCAAATAGAAATAATTTTGGTAATCCTAACGGACCTAAAACAGGAAAAGTGATTGTCTAATTTCATGTCAGACAGTGAGGAAAAAAAAAAAAAATGTGTTTCTTCTTTCAAGTGTATGTACACTTCTGGTCTCCACTGTACATATGATGGGAAGGTAATCTATTGTGGAACAGGAATCCCCCTTTATTTTTTATGTATAGAAAAAAGAAAGGGTAAGGGGATATTCGAGACAGGTTTTAATTGTAGGGGGGAGGGGGGAAAATGAAATATTTAATTTTTTTATTAGGTGGTTTTCCTGGCCGGTTGGATTGAACTTAATTTATTAGTTAAAAATTAAAAACAAAAATTAAATTAATTAAAATAATGAAAAAATAGAACTAAACTTGAACTTAAATGTCTTTGAAGATGGCTGTGGATGTAACTCTCTTTTCTCTGTCCCACGCACACCACCTCTCTCATATGAGAGGCCAGAGACTTTGAGTTCTGGAACCAAGAGACCAGTAAACAAGTAACATTAGCATTTTACACTTAAATTAATTAAATAATAATTTTCCAACTCCTTGCTTTTCTTTTTTTGCCCTTTAAGCTAAGTTAAATGTGTAATTTTAAGTATTTTTAAAAGCATAATGGAAAAAGATGTACCAGGACAAATTTTAAAGGTTATAAGGATGTTACTTTTTATTAAATATCCTCTAATCTGGGACATCCCCGGCGTCCCCCAAGCATCCCCCAACTACGTATAAAAACAGGGGGTGTATTATATGTCTGTCAAAACCAGGGGCCAACCTAGGGGCCCCCCCTGGAACCCCGCCCAGGGGGGGAAAATGTCCCCACTAGGCTTGTTTATCCAATTATGTGGAAAAAAGGCCGGGGGTGAAGGGGGGGAGAGGGGAATAGTGAATTTGGGAATTTTTCGTTTGAAGTTTGTGGCCGTTGGCGTTTATTTAACTTTAAGAATTTAATTTTTAGAAAATTGTATTATAGAAAAAAAATTTGTGTAAGTAAAACATCAGCCTTAAACTTGTTTATATTTTTAAATGTTTGTCAAAATAAGAAAAAGTAGCAGATGAACTCTGTCCCACCTGAAGCTCCCCCCCCGCTGTCTTGTTAGAGCCACGGATGACTGAAACTTTGAGTCTGAGAGAAACAAAAAAAAGTCCATAAAAATTTAATTAAAAAAAAAATTAATCCTAGAATATTTCTAACTCACCTTTTGTTTTTTTTTCCCCCCTGCATGGGTAAATAAGCTTTTTTTTTAAGTACATCTAAAAACATAATGGAAGGAGGATAATCAAAAAAGTTTTTAAGGTTCTTAGGATGGAATTTTTTGTTTAAAAAACACTCTATTTTGGGGAAAAAAAACCCCCCCCCCAGACCATCCCTAAGTACAGATTGAAAATATGAAATAAGTTTTAAAAAACCAAAAGACTCGAGAGGTTTGGTCGACCCCGTGACCCAAAAAACCACCAATATGGTGTGTGGTATATCACCCGAATAATCATTTTTTATCAATAAGGGTGGAAAGCTGGGAGGGGTGGAAGGGGGAGGAGGTGATATTGGATTAGGTGATTTGGTTGTTGATGTGTGTGTGGTTGATGTAGATTTGCTCTTGAGAAAAATCGTAATTAGAAATAAAAATAATGTAACTAAAAAATCAGCCGTGATAACATCAGCCTTATAAAAGTTGTTTTCATTTGTAAAAGTTTGGGAGGAGAACGAATGCAGCTGGGGGTGTCCTTCCCCTGGGGAGCTCCCACCATGCTGTCTTGTTAGAGACGCAGATGACTGAAACTTTGTGTCCTTGAGACACTAATCAACAGGTACCACCATTTTTATCCAAAAAATTTTCTTCCTAAAAATTTATTACATAATTTGCTGTTTTTTTTGCCCTTTAAGAAGTTTAAAAAGATTTTTTTTTAAAAAAATAGTAAAAAAATAATGTGAAAAGATTTTTCAGGGAAAAATTTTATTATTAATAGGTTAATAATTTTTTGTTTAAATATCATTCTAGGCTGGCCCCTCAACGTCCTCCCCCCAGATATAAAAAAAAACTATTATGAAAAGAAAAATAAGAGTTAAATATTTGAACAAAAAGAGGTTCCCTTTAGAAAATCCCCCATAGGGAACAAAAAATGGGGGGTGAATTTGTCCCCCCAACTTGTTTTATCAAAAAGGGGGGAATGCAGGGGGAGGGGGAGGGGGGGGGAAGGATTATTTTGTTGAAGTTTTGTGTCGGTTGGGTTGCCTGTTGGCTGGATTTTTACTTTAAAAATTTGAAATTAAGTATTAAAAATTATGTGTTGAATAATTAAAAAAAATAAATTTATAATTTAAAATGTTTACCAATTTTTCGAAATGTTGGTAGGTTGGCATGTGTGCAGGAAATCCCCGCATGCTGTCGTGTTGGTGGCGAGCATGCCGGAAGCTTTCGTGCGTGAGACACTGAAAACCGGGACCCTAAGTGCATCAAACCAAAACGTACATCTAAAATAATTTTTAAAACCTAAATCTTACTTTTATACTATTTCAACCTTTAAATATTTATTTTTACTTTCATCTGGAAAATAAATAAAATTTTTTTTTAAAGCCAGATTATAAAATTTAAGAGGATGTTTATTTTGGAAAAATTTTATTTTTTGGGGGGGTTACATTTTTCATAAAATATCCCTCCACCTTGGGGGAATAAAAAACGTCCCTTAAGTATTTAAAAAAATATAGGATTAGTAAAAGATTGGTGCCCATAAGGAAACCTACAAAAGTGGGGGTTGAGTTCCCCCCCCCCTAGGAAAACCACAAAGGGTGTGAGAAGGCCCCCCTTAAAGGGGGTGTATGGAAATTTTGAAAAAAGGGGGAGGGGGGGGGGGGGGGGGGGGGCATTTAGTTTTTAATAAATTTTAGGTGGAGGTTCTTGGGGCCTTGGCTTGGGGTTAAAAAATAAAAAAATATTTTAAAACCACACTTATTGTTGTTTTTAAATTTTAAGAAGTTATAACATAACCATAAAACTTGTTTATACTTTTATTTCTTTGGGGTTGGACGAGGTCAGAGTGGAGGCGGTCCGGTCAAGGCTGAGGGTATGCATCCCTCAGGCGTTAGTGACACAGACCAATCGGGGACTGTAACTTAACGTTAATCTAAAAAAAATCAAAAAAAACATTTGTTTTTTGTTTTAACATTTTACCCGAAAAATTATTTATTTTTTTAAAGTTGTTTTTTAATAACATTGTTTAAGGAAAAAAAAAAAATTTTTTTTAAATTCATCGGGAAATTAAATTAAATTAAAATTTACAACAGACTTTTTAATTCCTAGAAGAAGATATTTTTTTTAAAATAACACTTTTGGGACCTGATCACGCGTCCCCATAGCACATCTTACATCAGTGTATGAATAGAAACTGTGTTTTAAGTATCTGACAACCTAGAGACTTGGTCTAGCATTGGTCCCCATAAGGAACCACGACATGGTGTGTGATATGTCCCCACTAAGCTTGTTTATTCAATATGTGTGAAAACAGGCAGAGGTTGATGGAGGAGGGAGGGAATATTGAATTTGATGATTTTGTCGTTGAAGTTTCGTGCCTGTTGGCTTGAATTTAACTTTAGAAATTTGTCATTAAGAACATGCATTAGTGTAACTAAATATTATGCAGTGATAACATCAGACTTAAACTTGTTTTTCATATTTTGAAATGTTTGCAGATGACCATGAATGCAGCTGATGCTGTCATTCCTGTGGAAAGCTCCCAGCATGCTGTCTTGTTAGAGACGCAGATGACTGAAACTTTGAGTCCATGAGACACTAATCAACAGGTACATTCATGTTTAGCACTTAAACTTTACTCCTAGAATATTTCTAACTCACCGTTTGTTGCTTTTTATGCCCTTTAAGCAGGTAAATAAGCTGTTTTTTTAAATGCATCTAGAAACATAATGGTAATAGGATATTCAGGACAGATTTTAATGTTCATAGGGATGTTACTTTTGATAAAATATCACTCTATTCTGGGACATTCACGACGTCCCCATAGCACATCTTACATCATTGTATGAATAGAAACTGTGTGTTAAGTATCTGACAACCTAGAGACTTGGTCTAGCATTGGTCCCCATAAGGAACCATGACATGGTGTGTGATATGTCCCCACTAAGCTTGTTTATTCAATATGTGTGAAAACAGGCAGAGGTTGATGGAGGAGGAGGGAATATTGAATTTGATGATTTTGTCGTTGAAGTTTCGTGCCTGTTGGCTTGAATTTAACTTTAGAAATTTGTCATTAAGAACATGCATTAGTGTAACTAAATATTATGCAGTGATAACATCAGACTTAAACTTGTTTTTCATATTTTGAAATGTTTGCAGATGACCATGAATGTAGCTGATGCTGTCATTCCTGTGGAAAGCTCCCAGCATGCTGTCTTGTTAGAGACGCAGATGACTGAAACTTTGAGTCCATGAGACACTAATCAACAGGTACATTCA